TATATATATATATATATATATACATTAATAATAACAATGGAATAAAAATAAGTACTCGAATTATTAAACGTCGTTCAAAAATAATTGTAAAAAAGAGGAATTAAGAGGCTCTGAAGAGGAAACATGATAGTTCTCTTAACGACAAAACTATATTGGAGTCATATTTTTGCAAGAAACTGCAACGATAAAGTAAGACTTTCAATCTGTTTACCCAAGCATAAAATAAAATACGTGATTTATGAGACGAAAGATTAAACTGGTTTAAAATCGTGTTAAGTAAAATGTACAGACACATCTAAATGTAATAAATTTAATATATCTATATAACTATTAATCAAATAAAATTCTTCATAAAATACCTTAAATTAATAGTTTATTGAAAATGTAATAATACATAGTACGTTTAAAGAATTAGATAATTTTCTAAAAATATTTGTCGCCAAAAGCATATTTTAGTAATGTAACAATTGGATTGGTGGTCATTATAATGTCATTAAGATTATTATACTAGATTATCTTTTTTATTTGTCTCTTTCATACTTCTCTCTACTGTCTGTAATTATAATGTTGAATTATGAGACATTATTGTTCATATTATATAAACACTTCTTTATACTCGACTCTATTCCCCTTTCCTGTCTTTTTTGACCGGTGGATTTAAAAAAAACGTAAAATTAACTAGTCGTACAAGATTCGTGTGTGCAGCAAGCGTACACACATTAATCTTGTCGTATTACATAACCAGCGATTCTATTTTACATTTGAGCGTTGATTATAGCGCGACAACGAGACAGAGAATATATCTTTTTAAGTGGCTGGAGAAGCTTGTCGATAATCTAAAAGTAATTTTAAATACGCCGATCAAGATTAGTGTCTCCGCGTGGTATTTTCTTTAATTAAATTAAGCTAGATTATTAGTAACATTATTGTTAGCAAAATTTACATATGCATACATTTATAATGGCAAGCTTTTAATTAGTTGCTTACATTTAATTACATCAAATTGAATTGAGAAACGAACAATAAATTCAGCTGGCAATATTGTCCTCGACCTCTGCACCGTTTAAAAGTCACGACCGCTAGACAAAAGCAATATTGCTCAATTGCTATAACGATGTCTCGCTCGACGTTTTTCGACGTTGACGAGCCTTTAATTCTGTTTAACGCGTCAATTAAAGAGACGCGCAAATCGTTATCTTTATCCAAAAGTTTATCCGTTCGAAGAAATTCCTCTTTCGGCGAAGATGTATCTCTCTCACTTGCTTTATTGTTTGCAGTTATTGTGCTCTGCGATAAAGCCCACTTATTCTTCTCGCATATTTGATCGTTCATTAATCGCGGGTTTATCGAGGACTTTGAAGGCGGTAGTGGTTAGCTTTGCGAAAGAATTTTTTATTAGCAAACGAGGACGATTGCATGTGTAGATAAGCGGTAGAATTCAAACCGATAATTTTATCTTGACAATTCCGTAACGCGTAACTTTAAATGTTCACCTGCAACTTTATCTGTTTACTATAATGAAAGTGACCTTATCTGCAAATGGAAGCACGTTTGTGGTGCACGTGAAGAACTTTCATAATAGTTTTTACTTGCAACAGCAGATTGATACGCGTATAACTGAAAACTTGATATAAAAATAGTTATAAAAATTAATAATAAAAATTTAAAAAGTAAAAAACATTAGAAATTAATTATTAATTAATTATCGAAAGAGATAGAAATTAATAAATAAGATTAATAATTGTATTGTATTAATAATTATATTGCTAAACAGAAATCTAAAAGCAAAAAATGTATTCAATGAAAAATTTTACGAAATTTGCATCATTAAATGGCTTCGAATGGGAGTTACTCCGAAATTTCATGGCATGTGCGGCTCGGTCAGTTAAAGAGTTTTTAAATGCTTGAGATTGAGAGCACGTGTTAGGACAGTGACGAGTTAGCTAAAACGAAGTATAGACCACGAGGGTCTGGTCGTTCGATATTCCAACGATAGAACCTCGTGGGAAGCGAGGGGACAGGAGCGAAATGGCAGGCAGAAACAGCAGGCGGCAACCGGAGTAAAAGACGAAGAGACGAATCGAGGAGGACAGCCGGTGTTGATCGCTCAAGTAGGGCCTGGAGCGATGTAAAAAAATGCATACCTGCAACCGGAAGCCGAATAATGACAGAAGGGAAAGCTGATGGCTTAAATCAGGGCCGTAATTAACGGGAACGGTGACGAGGAAACTCGGTCGCGCCGGCGCTAGCGAAAAAATGAGTCATGGTCGGCATCGACGATGATGTCGACGTTCGTCATCGTTATAAGTTGAGCAGCTGAGGGTAGGGGAACCCCAGGTGCGGCTATACAAGGCCTGAAGTCAAAGAAGATACATGTTCCAGTTTCCAGACTTTCGAAGTGTCTTTTACAGACGAAGCGATGATCACGATTCGAACGATTAAGAACAATTATTACGAAATTAATTTACTGATTCTTAATTATGTTTCTCCAATATCATTTAAGAATTTATTTATGAATGACAGGAAAAATATATTAGTCCAGATTCAGCGTTTTCGGAACGTAAAAGATATGGGGTCGAACATGCTCTATAAAAAGCATCCAGACAGATGTGAAAGATTTTGAAAGATCAAAAGAGTCCGAGCGATAAAAATGCAATAAATTTGATTAATTAAAATACTGCGATCAATTATGTTACACGCTAAACATTGCAGTGGAACGTTAAAGACTGCGTAGCGTTGAGCATATGAAACAATTTGATAATCCATACCTTCAACCTCGTAATTTGACTGCGCAATCGGCTTTACGAAAATGCGAAGCGCACGCAAGTGCTAGATAAAACTTATCTAGTGTTTGCCTTGGTGATTGATCGCATTCCTCATCATGCGCGGACTGAAGCCGCATCAGCCAGTAGATATTTAGCTGTTCCTGCCAGAGCATTGAACCCCGGTTCGACCCGAGACTCCGTCACTCTACACAAAGAACCCCATTTAGACACGTTCCTGTTAGCCGAGTTTGCCACGACTCAGGGCGCAAGTCTTCCTCCTCGGTCGGTCTCCGTGCCAAGCAATTTATTCGATTCGTTCACGCTCAGAGACTGAGTCGCGCAATCCGGAGCAGATAAAAGTCCCCCGGCTCTCCGTCACCACCGTTCCAACCGCGTGTTGTCGTCCGGTGTATCGGCGATGAGAGAGGTCTCCTCCTGGTGAAGTTTTCATCGTTCGTTCAATCGCAGCGAGCGACATCGGGCGTTTAGCAATCACAAGGAATTGCTGCGCAGCCAGCTAGCTAACCAGCCAGTCAGCCTGGCGAGTAGTCAGCGATTTTGGAGCTGAACTCCGAAACGACGGCGCCGCGCCGCCATTTTAGTGCGAGCACGTTTTCGCAAATTGTCTTGTGCCTGGACGTTTTACGTTGTAAGGAGGCGATTCGGAGCCTGAGACGTGGAACGATCCATCTGCGTGGCACAGCACCCCGGTGTGGTGGCGACAGCACCACGAATGAGCGCCGCGTCGAGGAAACACCCGCGCGCAAAGTGATTTCTCGCAGGAGAGTGGCGTTTTCTTTTCCGTTTCCTAATTTGCGAGCGATCGAGACCGGGACGTACTATTTCGCACCAACGGCAGCTTATACCAGCACTATGAGTAAAATGCTAGACACAAACTATCGCACTGTGTTCTCTGTACTTAGAAGTCCCGAGGAGAGTGAAGAGTTTAAGCGAATCATCTGAAAAAATCGCGCAGCAAAAGGAAAAATCGTCGTCGTCGTCGTCATTTCCTCCGCGAGGACGATCGTATTCGCAAAAAGTGTATAATCTGTTGGTGTTCAGTGTAGAGAAGTTTTTCTCGTTCTGTCTCTCCGTTTGCCATACGTATTTCTTATTGTCGAGACTCGAGACGTCATTGTTGACGTAGTTGGTGAACTATTAATAGATTCGTGATTTCGGGGAATCTTGAAACGCGTTAATTCTCGCGATATCGCGCAACTTCTTCCTCTATTGATTGGTTTGATCTGAAAAAGGACTTACTCACGCGCTAAGTGTTCTTACACCGAGTGCGTCTGATAATCTGTTTGAAAAAAAAAAAGAACTACTGAAGACTCTCGCGTTTCTCCACGGGAAAATCCCATTGCGCGAGTGAAAAAAGCCGTGAGCTGTCACAATCTTTCTGCCGATCGAAACATCCCGACGGCAACCCCGGATACTCCGATAACCCGTAATGTATTTGCGATCGCGCCACCGAGCAGCACAAGGGAGGCACGAGCACATAAGAGAGGCGGTAGGAGCTGGTGTAGCGGCCGCGTGCGGTCGCAGCGATCACAGATCGTCGTCCTCGAGGGCTAAAGGTGGAACGCAGTCGAGTAAAGCGGCGAGCCGTTACCGCGATCTAGCGTTAGCACCGCAGCCGCAACCGCGGCCGCTACGAGGCGGCTCATCCGCAGGCAGGGGTGCTTCGGACCTGGTGTACCTAAAACGCGGCATGAGCGAGGGTGAACGAGCAGCGATCACGCCACGAATCGGCTGGCGAAAGCTCACCGACCCTGGCGACTGACACGAATCCAGGAAGCCGAGGGCAGGTCCGAAGCGATAGCACCAACTACCGCTGTTCGCTCATCAGCATCCTCGTACTCCTGCCACTCTCTTGACAGCCGACGTCATCGGTCCATGGTACTGGCACAACCGCGAGACGGCCTTCAGAGTCCGTATTAGGACGCCGTCGTTGTCGTCGTCATTGTCGCGTCTCCCGTGCCAGCTCGATGCCGGCCAGATGCCGGATAACACGTCGCCAAGATCCGCTGCGAGGACCTTGAAGAGGGATCCCGAAATGGCGGGCAATCGGTGTCGGTAGCAGACGGGGTTAACGTCCCGAAGAGCGCAATCGTTTCAAAAACGGCACCCACGCCTCGTCATACCTCGCAGCTCACCGATCGTCTTCGGCACCCTCTCCCTCTTTCCCATTCGTCTTCAACGTGTTTTCAACGTCCCGGCTGAATTTTTAGTCATAGCGAATAACGAAACTCTGTCTCACATCGAGCGATTCGAGGTGGCCCTCGAGAAGCGCCCGTATACGGACAATAATTCGTTAGGTACTAATAAGGCTAGTGTTAAATTACAATACGTAGTAGTGAGGAGCAGCAGGTAGCAAAGGAGGCGGGTCAAGAAGATTAATTGATATAATGATTAATGAAATAATTGATTAATGAATTAATGGTTTAAGAGAAAGTTGAACTGAAAAAAAATTCTTTGAAAATTGGAAAACTTGACCATTCTCGGAAGAACAATAGAAAGGACAATAGAAATAGTAAAGATAGTAAAAAAAGAGGGCAGAAGAGATAGTAAAGATAGTAAGAAGGAAAACAAATACCGCATCGAACGCGAGAAATAAAAGAAGACGTCCGTGCATTTCAAAGTTTTCGTCCTTACTCACGTTTCGGTTGAGCTGCATTTTCTCAGTCAGTCGTGAGCATGCCGCCCACGCCGAACAAGCTAAACCTGAGCTTCACCAGGAACGCTTACAGCGTTTTTGGTAGTCGCAGCGCGGCTACCGCAAACGAGCATCAGCGCGAGCAAAAGACGGAACTGCTGGAGGGTAAGAAGCTCTAGAAAGAAATATCTTTACATTTATCCACGAGGATTTATTCTTCATTTATACGACAATTTTCGTCTCGTGGTCATTGATACTCGCGCTCGACATTAAATAAACGCGCTGTCCCATTCTACCTCGCTACTTTACCGCGATTATCCTCGACGATAACCGCACAATTTCCATTCTCTCTCATTCCCCTCGTGATTTGACGCGATCGGGAGTTATAAAGGCTGGCCGGCGGCATCATTGCCGTCAGAAATGCGCCGCATTCTGCACGCGCCTACCGCCGCGCATCATTAACAACAAAACAGAAATCTTACGAAACGTCGCGGAGAAAGCGCGTCTCGGTTCGCGATTGGTGAACGAACGTTCAGGACACGACCGGCATGCGAATGGCCTCTCGTTGTAATAATATTGGCGTCATTTCAGATACCCGAGCCAACGGCATTCTACATTTGAAGAATGGCGTGGATTACATCAATCCCGGTGAAGAGGACCAGATGGAAATTTACGGGTAGGTCAATTTATAGAGGTCATCTTGCGTTGCGTCACGTAAATCATAGGTGAATTCTCTCCTTGAATTTCGCCATTTGCTTTAATCTCGGCTCATTATTGTTACAGTTATAGGCGAAACCGCGCGCAGACCGTTATTATCTGGTTCCTGATTGTCATTACCGGAGGTCTCCTGAGGCTGATATTCCATTGGGTGCCTCATCTCATGCTCCTGGCCACGCACAATAAATGCTCTTTGGAAGAAGCGGAAACCGTTTTGTTGATCGAGAAGTTTCAAGGAAAGCACACAAGCTATCACGTGAAGAAGCTGAGGAACTTGACCGCTCAGGAAATTATGTTAGTAAATTTTTTAATACATTTTGTAGATATATATTACTGAAGATTTAAAGCTTCGAATAAAAGCAACAGCCATACTTGTAAACATCAATAACATTAACAAAATTAATATTGATAATTATTATTTTGCTTTCCAGTAACAAATCTTTCCACGAAGAATCTCTGATGGACGAAGCATGGGACGGCAGTGTAATAACCACCAAAGAGGAAAAGGAAACACATCCGATGTTGTCCGTGCATCTTTGCGGCGGTCAATTCAAACGTAAGTGAATCATCAGTGTGTTTTTTGCGTTATCTGCAGTATGCTTCATATATAAGGATAATTTTAACAAAAAAATAATTACGAATCAGAACAGATCGATAAATGTTATAAACAATTAAGATCGGAAATTGCCAACTCGGTCAAAGCGGGTCTTGGCTTATAATATTTTAATGTGCAAATTTTACAATTTTTTGGTTCAAATAAACCGCGCGCCGCATACCTAATCGGACTTTCAACGCAGCTCCGAACCGAATTTTTATCAAAAAGATTTATTTTCAGAGGTGCCATCCATAACCATTTTCAACTGCAAGAAACTGACCTACGTTTGGGACCCGGAGAGATCGGAATTCCTGAAGCTGCGTGGCCTCGACACCGACGTTCTAATGTCCACGTTACATCAAGCGCAAGGTCTCAGCTGTCAGGAACAGTACATGAGGTAAAAGTCCGAATCAATTTCTCAACCGGCGTTTCTCAACTGGAACTTTGCTTCATGACTTACCTATGATTATATTTAGCAATTTAAATTAATTATAATAATTGGATACGGTTTATGTCGACAGGCGCAATGTTTACGGCAACAACGAGATTGTGATTCCAGTGAAGAGCATATTCACGTTGCTCTGCCTCGAAGTGCTTAACCCGTTCTACGTCTTCCAACTATTTAGTTTTTGCCTGTGGGTCGCGGACGACTATTATTATTACGCCATGGTCATTCTCGCAATGTCCAGCGCTGGTATTATAATGGCTGTCTTCCAGACGCGACGGGTGAGTCACTTCTTCCTTCGTTTTTAGCTATACTATCTCGTGAATCGACCCGATTGAATTTTGTTCTTCTTCTTCTTAGAATCAGCAGAACTTGCGCTCGACGGTGCATTCGTCCGACGTCGCCACGGTCATGCGAGATCGTACGACCGGTCAGACTGCGGTAGTGCCGGCCGAACGCTTGGTGCCCGGCGACGTTCTGGTCATCCCGTCTCACGGATGCATAATGCCGTGCGACGCCGTGCTGCTGACTGGCAACTGCATCCTCAACGAGTCCATGTTGACCGGAGAGTCCGTACCTGTCACGAAGACACCAGTTCCTTCCTCCAACGATGTGATATACAATACCAAAGAACATGCTAGGCATACGCTTTTCTGCGGTACCAGAGTCATTCAGACGAGATACTACGGCAGTGAGAAGGTAAACTTCTCAACTTGTAAACTTCGTACTTTCTCCTCTTGTATTTTAATTGTTTCTAAACGGGAACGATTGTGCTGCATTAGGTGCTGGCGGTGGTCATCAGGACAGGTTTCAATACCAGCAAGGGTGATCTCGTGCGATCCATCATGTATCCGCCGCCTGTGGATTTCAAGTTTGAGCAGGACTCGTACAAGTTCGTTATACTGTTAGCGTGCGTAGCCATGATCGGCGTTATCTATACCATCGTGACGAAATTAATGAGAGGCGTTCACGGCAGTCACATTACTCTGGAAGCGTTAGATCTCATCACCATCGTGGTACCGCCGGCGCTGCCGGCCGCCATGACCGTGGGACGTCTTGTAGCGCAACGTAGATTGGAAAAGAAGAAAATATACTGCACGAGTCCGAGAACGATCAATGTGTCGGGATCCATCGATTGCATTTGCTTCGATAAGACTGGAACGTTGACCGAAGACGGCTTGGATATGTGGGGCGTGGTGAGCGTGTCGGACGGGAAGTTTCAGCTGCCTGTCAAGGACATCGCCAGTCTGCCATTATCCGAAGCCCTTATCGGTATGGTTACGTGCCACGGACTCACCATAATCGATAACCAACTGATGGGAGATCCGCTCGATCTGAAGATGTTCGAATCCACTAGATGGACGCTGGAGGAACCCGACGTGTCCGATACATCCAAATTCTCCATGCTTTTCCCGACGATCGTAAGGCCGGCAAAGAACTCCAAGCTTTTAAAGAGACTGCCCAACGATCTGGGTGGTACGGTCAGTCGACAAAACTCCGTGTCTTCCGATGTGGTGGACGGTATATCCCTTAACAATCTCCACGACGCTGCGTTCAGCGATTCCACGACGGAGCTGGCCGAGCAGGGACTGGAAGTGGGTATTGTTCGACAGTTTCCCTTTACGTCAAGTCTGCAGAGAATGAGCGTGATCACCAGGACATTAGGCGCCAATCACTATGATCTTTATTGCAAGGGTAGTCCAGAGATGATTCTCAGTCTCTCAAGAGCAGAATCCAGTAAGTCTTCATGATTGCACTATATTCAGTGTAATCTTATTATTGTTTAACTTTATTTAATTTTATTGTTTTAATTTTATTAATACAAATGCCATTCCTACTTATTTTTCTGCAAAAAGCAAAATCCAATAAGTCTTCACGGTTGCATTATATTCAATGTAATCTTATCGTTTAACTTTATTTAATGTTTAATTTTATTGTCTTAATTTTATGGATACAAGTTACATCTCTATTTATTTTTCTGCAAAGAGTAGAATCCAGTAAGTCTTCACGGTTGCATTATATTGTGTAATCTTATTATCGTTTAACTTTATTTAACTTTGTTTAATTTTATTGTTTTAATTTTATTAATACAAATGCCATTCCTACTTATTTTTCTGCAAAAAGCAAAATCCAGTAAGTCTTCATGGTTGCATTGTATTCAATGTAACCTTATCGTTTAACTTTATTTAATGCTTAATTTTATTGATACAAACGACATTTTTATTTATTTTTCTGCAAAGAGTTGAATCCAGTAAGACTTCACGGTTGCATTATATTCATAATATAATCTTATCGTTTAACTTTATTTAATGCTTAATTTTATTGTCTTAATTTTATTGATACAAACATTTCTATTTATTTTTCTGCAAAGAGTTGAATCCAGTAAGACTTCACGGTTGCATTATATTCATAATGTAATCTTATCGTTTAACTTTATTTAATGTTTAATTTTATTCTCTTAATTTTATTAATACAAATGACATTCCTACTTGTTTTTCTTTGTTTGTAGTTCCTCCAGATTTCTCGGCCATTCTGCAAGAATACACGTCCGAGGGATATCGAGTGATCGCTCTCGCGCACAAATCTCTGAATCGTCTTCCGTACGCCAAGGTGCAACGCATAAACCGCGAAGCCGCCGAGACTGATTTGACATTCTTGGCGCTCATAGTTATGGAAAATAGGCTAAAGCCCGAAACCTCGCCGGTGATCGCCGAACTAAACACTGCGTTCATCAAAACGGTGATGGTCACGGGCGACAATATGTTAACCGCACTCTCGGTGGCCAGAGATTGCGACATCGTGAAGCCGGGCACGCCCGTGATCGCCGTCTCGACGAACCAGCAGAATCAGCTGAAGCCGCAGATCTACTTCACAAAGAGCAACAGTCAACCGTCGCCGACTTCGCCGAGCGGTCAGCCGGATATCAGCGAAATATCCGATATGAACAGCGTGGTTAGCTTGGAAACTGTCGAGAGTGGCTTCGGCAATACCAAGTTGGAGAACGATATCAATTATCTCTCGGACGAGTGAGTATCTGCGTTTCTCAGCATCACGAGATCTATTAAAAATAGATAATATGAATCTTACGATCTGAATTGCAGTGTGCAATATTCCAAGAATAAGTACGTGTTCGCGTTGACGGGCAAAACGTGGGCGTTAATAAAGCAGTATTACCCAGAGCTGATACCCAAGGTGGTCACCCGCGGTGCCATTTTCGCGAGAATGTCGCCTGATCAGAAGCAGCAATTGGTTCAGGAACTGCAGTCCTTAGGATACTACGTTGGTAAGTGCGAACGTAAAAAAAAAACGACGCACCTTTTATAAAATGACAATTAAATTTTTAAAAATCGGGAACTCGCGATCTTAGAGATTTTAATGCTCTGACATAAAATTTCTTTTTCCGCAGCCATGGTGGGAGACGGCGCTAACGATTGCGGCGCGTTGAAGGCGGCGCACACCGGGATATCCTTATCGGACACGGAATCTTCCGTTGCCTCGCCCTTCACCAGCCGCGAAACCAACATCTCTTGCGTCCTGACGGTGATACGCGAGGGCCGCGCCGCGCTGGTGACCTCCTTCGGCATTTTCAAATACATGGCCGGATACTCGCTCACGCAATTCATCTCGGTGATGCTTCTCTACAGCATCGAGTCCAACTTGACGGACATCGAGTTTCTGTATATCGATCTCTTCATCATCTCCATATTCGCTTTCTTCTTCGGCCGCACCGAGGCTTACGAGGGTCCGATGGTAAAAATGGCGCCGCTCAATAGTCTCATCAGCACGTCGCCGATACTCAGTCTGATCACCCAACTTCTGATCGTTGCGACCTTCCAGTACACGTGTCTCTGGCATCTGCGGCAGATGCCGTGGTTCGTGCCGTTCAACGCGACCGCTACCGAGGATAAGGATGACGTGGGCTGCTTGGAGAATTACACGGTCTTCATCGTCAGTTCCATGCAGTACATCATCCTGGCAGTGGCGTTCTCCAAAGGGCCGCCGTACAGAAAGTCCCTCTTCACTAATTACGGCCTACTCACCTCCTTCGTGTTCCTCAGTCTGTTCTCCATCTATCTCGCGATATGTCCCTTCGAGTGGCTGGCCAATTGGTTCGAGCTCGTGCTACCCAACGATGTGGGCTTTCGCTTCATCCTGGTCGGCTACGGCGTGGTAAACTTCGTAGTCGCGCTACTGGTCGAGTATCTCTTCGTGGAGTACCTCGTGTTCGGCAAGTTGCGCTACCGCTGGCACGACGTGGATAAATCTCGACGGAAGTTCCTAGCCATCGAACGAGACATGGCGCGCGATCTCAAGTGGCCGCCGATTTCCCAGGAACCGCTTCCGGAAGCGGCGCCGAATTTGTTGATCCGGCAGAACGTCACCGAGATCAAGATCGAGAAACGGATCACCGAGCCGTGCCTGCCTACCGATACCAGCTTCATGAACAGCTCGCCGATATGCGCCGGTTTCAAGCACTTCGGGTCCGCTCGCGAGGTCACCCTCAATCCTAGATCGCTTTTCAACGACTGCCGAAACACGGTGTCGATGCAGACCGTACCGTGCTTCGAGGACAAGGACTTGTCGCCGAAGCAATCGGACGCGGAGGTCGTGACGGTGAAGCGACGACACAATTCGGAATCGGCGAACGGCATCAATCGTTACGAGAAGCCCTTCATGAATCACAATACTAATCCCATCGCCACGCTTCCCAGAAATCCCAACGCCACCCTTCAGCCGCAGAAGTTGAGGGATTTCAAGGATGTCCTAGTGCATAAGAGCGACGATCGAGTGTCGTCCAACTCCCAGAACGTGCTTGAATTAGACATCCTGCCGTCCTGAGGTCCGTGGCACTCGGAAAATCGGTCGAGAGGTAGCTGAGTACCTTGAAATCAAGCTAATTAACTCGGAATATTGTTCAATCTTCATTTCTGATTGACGCATTTAGAGAGTATCAGATGGATACTTGCGATAGTTATAAAGCATAATCCGAAAGGTCCGGATCTTCAATAAGGCGACTTTGTGCTTTGAATGTCGGATGCACTTGTAATCTCGATTCTCGACCTTCCATCCGGTATTTGTGATAGCCAGAATGTGTATTTGATATATCAATCATGATGACGATTAGTTTTTATATAAAAAAAAGTAAATGGCGGTCGACTCGAATTCCATATTCGATCGAACGAATTCGGAGTCAATGCATTTAGTTGGTAAACGGTATCCACGATTTGATGATTAATAACGTTACTTAAGCTAATGCAGGTATAAGAATCGGACGTTAGGAACAGCATTAAAGCTGTTTAGTCATTATTTGCGATCTCTAGCTATTTAATTAGCCCCGGATTCTCTCATTGTTCTTTTTTGTAGAGCAGCTCCTCTTTCGCTTGAAAGTAGTTAGTATTTAATATGTAATTTGTTGCATATATGCATATGATAATTTATTACATTTTATTGATACGTAATTTATAATATCCCCTTATTTAATATCCCAATCGCAAATCGCTTTCTAACTTAGGAATTATTTATATTTACCGACTCAGGCCAGGGTCCCTTTTGACCCATTCCTCCTTTATCCCCCTAGTCCTCTTTCTTTTTTTTTTTTAGTCTTTTCCTCGTTAGTATCCGAGAGCGGAAAAGTATTATTGTTATTTATCTTCGCAAGCAAGATATTGTAAATTATATATTGTATATTATGCACAGGGAAGCGTTCCCTCTTTGGACACGGAGCGCAGTGTATTGTGTTTTAAAGACGTAAATGTGTTTAACATTTACCGCAGGATCTTAGAGCGAGGCGAGAACATCGCGCGAGAATAATAATGTCTTTTTTCACTGCGATTCGAAATACTTTAAGCTAACTCTCTCGCGACTTAATCCTCCAAAGTTCGTTTAGCTGGGACGGAAATTTAACATTGACTACCTGGCCATTATTCCCGGAGCACTGGACTTGTTTCTTGATGCATTTTTACATCCCATCCTCTCTTCAAATTTTACTCGTATCTATTCAAACAGCATAACTGTACATAATAAGTAATTTACAACGCATACATTTATTGCGCGTTGCATTTTAACGGAACGATAAGATTCGAGAAGAAATTACGAATGATGATTGTAAATCAATTGTTTGCATAAATAGAAATTGAATTCGTCGCCGCTACTGATAAACATTCATCTCGAAAGTCATTCCACGGCGAAAAATTTGAACTTAGAGAGGTGATATTGCGAAAAGTTTAGTGGCTGTCGGATACGTGCGTATTTAAGGCGTGTACATTAAGTAATGGAATTATCTTGAAAAACTATACAATGTTATAAAGTAGGCCGAACCGATAGCGATTAACTAGATATCGCTCGGGGCCGATTACGTACTGTTAAATAACTACGTCAGAGATAAAAAAAAATTATATGTACTTACAAAATGCGCAACGGATATATAGATACTTAATCGCGCTGGTTTACTTGCGACGCCCTATAGTTCGTGTTGAAAAGTAGCGGTTGTCAAATAAAATATGTTTTTAATGTAGACACTGTTCACTCATTTTATCGTTGCTTTTTCTGTAGCGTAGCAAGAAAAAAATCGATGACATTAAAATTTAAATGAATTTATAACATGTCCATTGCTTTGATGATACAATCTCTAGTTGTACACTAATTGTAATGTTAAATAATTATTACAGAATTATAGTGCATTAAAATATATTAAAATCGATTGAAAAAATTATGTAATTAATATATGTTACTGCGGTATACATTCGAAGGGGGAAATAATCGATCGATCGGTAATAAAATCAAAAACAAAGTATTTATTAAGCGCAAATTCATACGCATATCATACACGCTTAATTTACAATGCATTCACATCGTTATAATTACAACACACTTGCGCCACCCGCTTGTGTCAATAGAGATACTTACATAACACCAGTATTACACTTAACAGGAAAACGTCGAGCTTTTACTCGCTTTTGAAACAACATATTGACGAAAAACGCGAAATCGCTCATTACAACAACAACACGTCTGCGACGCGTATATGGATCTCATCCTAAATTACTTTTACACTCCTGTAAAGTAAAAATGGCTTTAATTTCGTTAGGCATGATAGTTCATTCTCTGCAAATCAGTTTAAATTGATCCTCTCGTTAAACGTTCTCGTGTCACGTTGATTTCTCAGACGGTGATCTAGATTTCAAATATCATTCGCCGACACGAAGGATGCCCGAACTTTTGTGTCGTGCGAAGTCCAAGATCCAGGACCTTCCTGAGTGTAATTCCCCCGCGATCGAGGACGCGCTACGAGTTTATGACGTACGTAATCCAATCGACGGTCTTGGCCACGCGATGATAGATCCCCGGTTGGCCTGGCTGCGCGCAGGAGTAACCTGCGGATACGATGCCGATGAGGTACCATCGGCCAGTTTTCTCCAGCATCAACGGACCTCCGCTGTCACCCTGCAAATTAAAAGCGGCTCGTACTCCCGAGGAGGCGCGTTGGCGAGGAGGAGGCAGGGAAGAAGAACCAAGGAAAACGGGACGACGATTCATCGTATAAACATTACGCACCCACGATGACGAAAGCGCTTACCTGACATGAATCCTTACCGCCGCCGCGGTAACCGGCGCACATCATCTCATCATAAATGACGACGTTGATGCCGTTGGACCGATGCCACCGCTCGCAGAGGCGATTATCGATCACGGGCACGTCTACAGCTTGCAGCGTCTTGGGCCGTAATCTAGAACCTAAATGAAATAAGTTGTATAATGAGGTAAACAGCTGACAGGGACAAATAATTAGATTTTAATTATTTATAGCGAATTAATATTAGAGTTATGAGTGTGTTCTTTATTTCTCTCTTCGAATATGCTTATAATTCAATATTTGTTATATTAATATTGCAAGAAATCATTATTCGGTAACCAAACTCAAAGAATTTTGATTCAGAATTTATAGGACGAGAAATGAAAAGTGAGTTTAAAATTATATTAGCGGATAAAACAATTTTTTCACAAGTAGAGCGCTACCTGCTTGCAAGGCACCCCATCCCGCAGCCCAGCCGTATTGCCCCAGGAAATCTTCGTTTTTCTCCGGTAAGCATATAGGCGCTATATGGGGCATATAATGTACCGGTCGATCCAATCGAAGCACAGCCACGTCGAATCTGATAAACAACAACAAAGGGACGCATGAAATCGATAGAGTTTATTCTGTTTAACACATTCAGCACTGTATACATGCTATATATATATTCGAGGTATCCACACATTTGGAATGTTTTTAGTAACACACGCGAAAACGCACCTGTCCGCCTGCGGCGTGAATTTAAAGTAGGGATGCACCCTGATCTCTCGAACCCCAAAAGTATAAGCTGGCAGAGACTCGGTCGCGGAATTCACCACGTAATCGCCGAGAGTGACCTGGACTTGTCGCGCCGACGCTCTAACATTCAAAATATTTATTAAATATTCTAATTAATATCGATCTATACTTAAAACTTAATAATTGCGCGCGCGAAACAAGTACATGCAAACAGATTGTTCCGCACTCACTTGGCGACGCAATGCCCAGCGGTGACGACGTGAAATCGGTTGACCAAAGTGCCACCGCATCTGCTGGAACCGATCCGTATGTACGCCTGTCAAGACACAAAAAAAAGAACACAAGAAATCTTAACGATAGGTCTTAAGGGAAATCCGAACTAAGGTGTCTCGCATTATCTATTGTGACCTGACCTGCCACGGGAAACTCCCAAAACCGGCGTCGTCGCCACCGACGATCCTCCTCTGCGCGATTTGTTTCGAGACGACCGGTACGCCGCAACCTGTAAAACGCAATTGCCTGGATTCGCGTGCAATTAAAGTGTCGTCGTTATAATTATAGCGTCGCTGTCGAGTCTAATTATTTGGCATGACGAGTTGCGTCTAAAGTTGCCAAATTTTCCCTTCTGAAATAGAACGCAGGTATCAAGTAAATTAATTCCGCAGGAATTTAGCAGAACTCTTGTAGAATAGTAATTAGAATAATACTTAATACATGAAGTATAGTTAAGTGGGAAGCTATTTTTTTTGCGACGAATAAAACAGCGGGAATCCTGAATCGTTCTGTGTGCACAGAACGTCTGGTAATCCTAACGATGCCGCAACCTGCGGTTACAATAACGCGCAATGACGTTTAAATGCAGTTTCATGACAACCTCAAACACCTTCAGAGTCGAACCGCACAGACTGTCGAAGGTATAATATACAATAATCGACAGCGACAAAAATGTTTCCCTCCCCCGTTCTTTACTTGCCGAAATTGAACTTGGAGTAATGCGATGATTCTTTAATAGCTCCTCCTGTCTAATTTCAATGTTGAATCCTGACTTGCATTGCGTGTAATCAAGTAATTTTGTCAGTAATCGAGTAACTCCCAGCGTTACGTTGATCACTTACACGAATGTCGCCCGACAGATAAAAAAAAATAGCATTATTCATGATTGTTCGGACATTAGCCTTTAAATTAAAGCTGATAAAAAAAGTTAATAAAAAAAAATCTCGATATAAAAATAAACAAGCTTGTTGATTGATGTATAATACATTATAAAATCAATAGTTTGAAATGTTCACAATTATTACAATCATTTTTATTCATGCGACACTGTTATTTTTTGAAGAACAACACTGTTATTTCTTTGAAAAAAATAAAAATTCCAAAACTCGGTTAATTTCATTAATATTAATACATTCTATAATATAGGTCATATGGGACATACGTTACAATTTCAATTATAATAAAGTTAAAAGATTATCTTTTACATTTATTAGATTACTTGGAATTGCAAAGGGCATTACAAAGATGTCCTTCAATTAGTCGCGGGCAAATTCATGCGCTTATTAGTGCACCGCTTTGTGTAAAGCGTTCCCTTGCGAAAAACGGTTGTCGCGAATGCAGCGAAGCGTTTTATCGCGTAGATTACGGGAAAGAGACGGAGCATAGATCGTCAAAGTTTTATGAGTCGATGGCGGTTGCAGAAAAACGCGTTTCACCATTTAGAAAATTAATCCGCGAACGACGACAGCTGTTATGATATCTACATCCATTCGCCTGCTGCGCTTTCTACCATTTTCTAGAGCTTATATTATCCCTTTGTAAGAAATGACCTACGATTTCTATCGTGTAGCTTCGTTCGTTAATTCAGCAAGAACTTGTACTTCTCCGTTCAAGCGGACAATTGATTTAGACAAGACCGAGGCATCTCGAGGCGAAAAATGCCAGAGGGATCGGGATCAAGGAGACGGCCGTTTGCAAACAGGATCGTTAACATTTACGGGAATTCAGACGGATAATCGTGCGGAAAAACACAACGTAGCAACACCGATAAAAACAATGTTCGGGACAAACATGCATAAAGATAGAAAATTTATTTTTGTGATTTTACTTAACATGCTTGGATGGCATATCACATGTACATGCAAATCACGAAGACGGAGAAGGTCAAAGGAACATAAAATCGAGTCGAAGAAGAAAGAATCGTGGTATTAAAAGGAAGAAAGAATTCAAGACGATAAATGGAAGACATCCGGCAAGGAAACTGTGTGCAATTTCTCGAGACAAACGCGAAGGAGAAGTAGGATTGCATGCTTGGAATACACGCGAATGTGCGGAGTGTCGTGAAATAGTTGACAAAGAGAAAAATAGTCGACTAGGAAATTAGGGGAAGAACAAAAAAAGAGGGGGAAGAGACTAAAGAGACAAGGGTACATCTCATGCTTTCAAGTGCGGTGCTAAAGTAACGGACGGCATGCTGTTTCGAAGGAAGGACTTACGATCGTCGCTGGCGGTCTCCGTGTACAAATCCAGCGGAAGCGGCCGAGATTGATCTCTAGGCGACTCGATCAGGTTATAATCAGTGAGAGCTTTAGGGTCTTTCCGCTGACAACACGCGTACATAATGCCGCCGCAGCTGCCGTCCAATAGGCCAGCAGTCATCCAGCACATTAGAAAAAATTCGCAGCTCCGTCCGTCCGCGCACAATGTATCGTCGCCTTTCCACAGCGGTCTTTTTTGTTGGCGCGTCTCTGCACAAAATATGGAAACTCTTGTCTCTCTTCCGCGCGGGCTGTCAAGTTACGTTATCGGTCCTGGAGCGATAGCGACTTTGTGACGCTATCAATGCGCGACGCGGCCGAACCAGATAATGTCCGAGCAAATTCGCCAAAAGGCATTTTATTGCAATTATTTTCTAATCTAATCTCAATTGACTATGTTAATATGAAAGTAAAAATAAATATAAATTAAAATAAGGCTACCGGGCGATTGTTAATGCCCAATCACACATATATGTATATTATTAATATTAAATATTCAAAGATACATGAATGTAAATACACTACGAAGTACGATTGTTTCGATTCTTTTTGGAGTTATCCTCAGCGTACAATTTCATAATCAAATGCGATTAATCCTTTGATAATGGATGAATCACTTATGGTTACCAGTTCCAAAATACATTCTTGTCATTTGAGAGAGGAACAGCACCGCTAGAAATGGATTATTTTCTCCAAGGTCGAGATCCAAAAATGAAGTTTTGAAGAAGGAAGTGCGATTTATCAATGTAATTGTATACAATGATAAATCGATTATCGCAGAGAAATGCCATCAGTAATATCAGTATATATAAATCAGTAATATCAGTATAAATAGGAAATGCGATAAACATCTCAATCGTAAATGACTCATTCATTATCACGATCGAGGATTAATTACCGTAATTATTATAGAATACGTACACACGTTGTACGCTGAGAATGACTTCAAAAACAGTCGAAACGTTTGTTCGTTCATAATGTACTTACACTCAAGTATATGAATATTTAATATTAATAATAAACATATGATTGGACACTAACTACTCTGTACTCACATATATTAATCTTATTTTAATTTGTATTTAGTTCTAATCTTAATTTATATGAAACTATGTTAACAAAAAAATAGAAACCAAAGAGGTTCCAATAGAACTCTTCTCACATCGGTTATCGATTATTAAAAATTGGAAAATTATTAATATCAGATATAATTGTGACTGCTATATATTAACAGTTTGAATCATACGTTGCAGGCCCTAGTATAAGTGCGAGAAGTTGAAACTCTCTAACATAAATCTTTTCGGTCAATTTTTCGATATTCAATTATTGACACTCGATGCAATTATTAATCAACAATCGAAGGAATGCCGCCGTTTTTATTTCATCGATTACTCCAAGTCTAACTTCGAAACGGACGCAAATTAAAATCTAGGACTGATTTAAAATTTAGGTATGACCATTGCAAAACAAAAAATATATTAATATTTGAACTATTTGATCCTCACTTTAATTGAAGACTATATTTCTAATTATATTTACATTATTTGAAGAACATAAATTTGAAAAATTTAAGGATATATATTTATATATATGCTTTTTCTAGCAAGATCATCACATCTTTTATAATTGATTCATGAACAATTTAATAATACAATATTTATAATTAGTAGTTAAAATCGTCGGGTGAAACAGTTATCGCTAGAATTGTATTCTAATGTAGCCGAGAACAAAGATCAATGGCAAAATTAAATCAATCCCGCTGAAATCTAATCAGGATAAGACTGTTCAAGGCGAATGATGGAAAAAGCATCGACATGGTAATATTAACCCGTTTCTCCAACAGACTTTCTACAGAGAAACATTTGGGCAATCGTAAAAGGACCTCGTACCAGTTCAGCGTGACAACGATTTACCGTCCGGCGGCAAAGCGCGACGTCGACGATGTCGTAACGATTTCCGTGTCTTGGACCACGACGGAAGTCGTCGACTGTAATGGAAATAAGTTTCGCGCGCTATTAACAAGTGGGACGTTGCGCGACTAACCGTCCGATTTTTACGACGTTTACTCGAGAGGACGAAGTCACCGCGGGGCGATCAACTAAGCCGACGAACTAAACGAACTTGGAAGGAATCGGAAATTCTCTGAAATATTAATCGTTACGGCTAACTATCGAGTTTTGCGATTTCGCTAGTACGCTATACACGTACCTGTTTCCAATCTGGGATAATCATCCGGCGTCTGCTTCCGGAGGTCTGAAATAAAGAGATGCTATTCTGGAAAAACGCAATCATTGCAAAACAAAAGAAAAAATAAAACTATTTTGTACAAAAAAAAACGAATCGTTCAAATTTGATGAAAAATGCATTTGATAAACAGATAGAATTAATTATTTAAAAATTAAAAAAAAAAAGATATTGATATGAGAATTCATTAACTTTATTCTCGTAATTGCTCGAGAAATTAAATACTACATTATAATATACACGGTTGTTGTTTGTAATGATAAATTAGTGATTGTTACAGCTTGTTGCACCGGCATTACATATCTTATGCTCGCGAGTTAGTTCACTCGATCGCGTCGGAGATAAGCGTTGGTACGTTCACAATTGAAATGATTCGAAAGTTTCATATAACGCATCATTTGTATTTACACGCTTCTATAGGCATCTCGTCGATGAGGCGCTATTTGCACGGCAAATCGAATTACCAGAAGCGGCGGGATTACGCGAGCGCACGAAGAAAAGGAAGAAAGTAAAAGGGAAAAGAATTTATTATGCATTCAAAGAATAACGTGCAGCACACAGCGCACGTTAAACACAGGCCTGTATGAAACGTTGCAATATATCTAAGTATTATAGGTGTCTAACCCATAATTTCTAATACTGCATTTAAACATTTAAAGCATGGAGAACGTATATTTGAAGTGGGCACGCTTCTGGACCGTTTAAATATTAGAAATTATGTGTAATTTACAGTTTACAGTCCAATAAATTATAATGGGAATTAAAAAGGAAACGGATCTCTGATCAATATTTATTTTAAAGCTTCCGGTAGAAATGGTAAAAAAAAGATTAATATAGCGTTAATTCACAAGCAGAAAATAGTAGGTTTTAAATGATTGGAAAAATTAAAGTATTAATGCGTGTGTATCATTCCATCTAAAAAAAATGAGAGGATCTTACCTCTGATGTCGTCTTCGAAATCTGGCAGCTGGTTGGACTGCTGGAAAAAAGAGGCCGCACCGCCTCCGACCGGCGGCAGGAAGTCGTTGTCGCGAAATATCAGTCGTGGCGTCCGATGGGACATCACCGGCCTGTTGTAATCGGCGATTGCGGGGCTCCTCCAGAGGGACTTGTGCTGCCTCCACGAGCCCGGGAATTGGGCCTGCGAAACGAAACGCGCGGGCGGATGCGACCCAAGATTCCTGCCGTGTGGCGTCGGACCGCCCTCGAGGAGATAAGCGGCGGACCCCGTCGGAAATCGCACGTATCTTCGCCGACGGATCGCCACCACCCCGGTGCGATTGGCCTCGTACCTTCGCACATCGACAGCCGAGGAATCGGAGCTCGTGAACGGCGACACCCCGCTCGCCGTCAGGCTTGAGGAGAGACTCAGGACGACCGCAGCGAGAAGCCAATGACGCGGTGCACCCATCGTTTTACCGAACGATTAGAAATTGTCGCTCAAAGATCAAGCGTTGAAGAGTTTACTAGATGACTCCGTTTATCGACAATTGATTTCCGCAAACGGTACGCGTTCCATTTAGAAGTTCGCGCATTCACGTGAATTTATTTCAATTAGCTAATCTGCTGATCGTCTTCGTTCCGTTTTCCATTTCCTCACAGGATACAGGTGATCTCGTTGTTTGTGGTAACAAATTTTTTCACCGAGCCAATTTTTCGCCCCCTTTAAAAAATTAAATGATTATATATAATACGCAGTATAAATTAAAAGATTATATATAATATGTAAAATAAATTATTATTCGCAAAAACGATTATTGTAACAAAATGTATTTTACATTATTTTCTAAATGCGTGTCAGATAAGGCGAGACGCGTTTATTGTAAATGATTTATCCACGTGTTATATGTAATATGTATAATACTTGAATCCTAGACAAAATCTGTCATTACTCAATTCAGACTGATTTTCTCCACGAGTTTCACGAGTTGTTAATCATCATCGAACGAATGCTTGATTCCTATAAAGCGAAAGGAAATGCGCTTCGTTCGTACTCACAGCTAGGTAGAATCGTCGAAGATTCTGATTCAACGAGGAATGCCACACTTGAACAATTATTGATAGCGGTTTCACGTTGAATCGAAGAACTTTCATTTGGTACTGAGCCATTCGTGATCATTACTAGTATTTATAAAGAATTCTTATCAGATGTCTTTCTCGATAAAATACACAAGTTATTTTGATAAAAACCTGCAGGAGAGTAGATGCAGACATAGATTGTTGTCTCAATATACGTAACGTATTTTATTTTGGCAATGAAATTCGCACGTATTTGATAACAAGTTTAACACTTATTATCAATTCTCACGAGACTCGTTAAAAACAAAATGAATTGATTGTTTCTTAATTATTTCATAAAATCTTGCGTCCAAAGAGCACGTACGATATTGGCGCTTCATTTTATCTTTATTCTTCATTAAAACATAGATAGGCGCAATTGATAGGCGCGGGATTTTCGAAAAAAATAGACTTATCCATATTTTTTAAAAGTGAATCAGTGAAATCATCACTAATAGTGCTGTAACTAGTGCAATCGTGCAAATCGTGTGCAATCACTATACACTACCGGTCAAAGTTTAAGTTTAAGTTTAAAAATAGGCAAAAATTTACCTTCAGTAAATTTTTTAAAGTTTAAAAATGTAGGTTACTTGAAATTGCAATATTTTGCTAAATAATCGGCGTAGGAAAAATTTTTTTTGCATAAAGAATCTCTATTTTTTTTACGATTTTTACGTTTTTTTAACGATATATTCGTCAATTATTCGCTGAGTAACAAAAGTTTAAAAATGGGCAAAAATTTATTGAGAGTGAACAAACTTTTGATCAATAGTGTAAATAATTTTTTTTTTATTAAAAATAAATATTTTTTTAGTAGCGTATATCGCCTACATGTAGTGCATTCTGGATATTTATTATGGCAAAATGATCTACATCTATTTATAATATTTAAGTGAATGGAAACCTGGGGAGGAAGAGGAGGGGGGTGCAAAATTTTAAGTTCGCACCGGACACAAAGATAGCTAGTTACAGGCACTGATCACTGATTGTCAGTGTATATTATTTTCCAATGGAATTATTAATAGAAGTTTTTTTTTTCAGAAACTACTTTTTTTCAAAAATCCCGCGATATCAATTGCGCCTATCTTTATTTTAATGATGAATAAAGATAAAACGAAGCGCTAATATTGGACGCAAGATTTTAAGAAATAATTAAGAAACAATCAGGTTAATTCATTTTTAGGCGCCGATAATTCCACTCGAAACTGAAATTGATATACACTGATAATCAGTGATGATTCCGCTGATTAACATTTAGAGAGTATGAACATTATAAGCAATGCTTGAAGGATAAAGAATTAAAGTGGAGAACAACTTCTATAATCCATAAATTCCTTTCAGCAGGACAGGACAAAATCCAGCGTCACGATCCTCCGTAACGAGTGAAAGTAAAGAAGTTCATCCGGAACCAAAGATCATGGCATTATACGCGAGAAAGATTCACTGAACGTGCTTAAATCCACCAACATCTCGAATGAAATTATCGCCCACGAACGATGTTAGCGAGAGAAAACGATGCGCTGGTAAAACTTTAATAAGGCTTTGAAATTTGTAAATCTTTATAATTCTAATTACTTATGCAATTACAATATTAGTGCGTCAACATTTTAAAAAATAATTTTATTAAATAAATAATCAGTAAATTTCTATCATAAGCACATTGAATCTGGTTATTACAACGCAAATAATAGAATATAAAATTTAAAAGAAATAATAGTCACTTTTTTGTTACCAAAATAACAATGCGCTAATCAGTGAATCGAAGTGAGTAAAAGTCGTTTCTGCTGTCGGAACTGGCGACAACATGTGCTTGAGTTTTTCTCTATTTTTGTTACAAAACTGATATGTCATCTGCACAATATCTGCTGAAACTAAACTAAGCAAAGTGAACAAGCTAAGCAATATCTGCTAAGCTAAACTAAGTTTATTGATAGCAAAAATAGAGAAAAACAAGCGTGAGGAATCATCAAGAACCTGTCACCAGCGATAGCAGAAACGATTTTCATTTACTTCGATTGTTAATTGGATCAATACTGATGGTAAAAAGATAGAAAAACTGAAGAAACTACTATCGCAACTGAACAGTTGATAGTAGCAGATACGCGGAAAGATACAGTAGGATCTGTTACACTGACGTCAAATTATCTTCAGAAACTGTGCAAGCGAGAAAAATCTCCGCTGTCACTGAATATACTTACAAGCCGCTAGTGTTTCCTAATATCTGTTTCTCGCATTTAAAATTTGTCGAGCTTCTCTATATAACCAATGTCTAATCGAATTTTGAACATGTCATAATTATTTGTGCATTATTTATATATGCATTAGTGCGAGATATGAATAATGTTTTTGCGATATAAGCTAATAATGATTAATGAGTATAAATACTTAAAAATGATCGCTAGGAGAAAGGCGAAAATATTTTTGTGATATTTTCAGATCAGAGTATTCTCGGAATTGAATGAAAAAAAAATTAATTAATAATTACTTGCTAAATTTTTGCGATTATATGTGACGACAGCTTGTGCTCGATTTCTGCTGTGTTCTTGCCGTCAAGAGCTGATAAAGCAAATCGCGTTCTGTATCTGCTGCATTTTCGCTGTCACACGGTCGTGGACGGCAGGCTGTGCTCGATTTTTGCTGTATTTTTGCTGTCAGTATTCGATACGGCGAGCTGTATTTGATATTTACTACGTATTTGCTGCCATAATGTGGCACCAGGGTAATACTTGATTTTTGCTGCATTTCTATCATCGTTTTAAGTGGGCAAGCTGTGCTATCAAAGACTAAGTTTAATGAGAAAGCAGCAGCTTAAAATCTGCTGGAAAGTCATGATGGTGTTTGTTGGCATGGTACTTGCATATTGCTAGCATTTTGCTATCTGGGTATATTAGACTTTTATGAATATACCTTCAATAACTTTAGCTGCAGTTGCATTATATTTAGCAGTACAACAACAATAGATTATAAGTTAAATAAATAAAGGTAAGGCAAGGTAAGGTGATTTTATAAAAAATAAGCGGTATAGTTAAGTTATCTGAGCCGATTATTAGTAAAGGCAAATCGGTTAATCAAAACCGTTAACGCTTTTGATAAACTCTCGAGCCAAACAGTATAGCTAAATTTATTACAGTATAGCTAAAGATATAACAAACAAATTTGTCCCAATTAAATCTTTTTGAAAGTCCACTTTTCGAATGCCGTTCAATATTAACAGGCAACATTGATAGATCTCACACTTTGGCGCGAATAAATCGAAGAACGACTTTCGAAGCATTATATTAGTTAAAAAGACTAAAAGGAAATCAGGAAGAATATAATTGTTCATTAAATAATCTTGGTGGACGACCTTGCCGGGCCACCGCCAATCGCGGCGGTGAAGATGAACGGTTCGATGTGTTAGTAGGTCATTGGCTCTATACGTCGCGTGGATCCACCAGAAGTGAAAGTATACACTTCGTGCGTGCACGACAGTGTGAAGTTCACGTTCACGCGGTGCCACCCACCGCCCTGGCGGCGGAAGTTATATACAAATCGCTGCTCGTATCGTTCTCCGAAGACCTCCTCGCTTTTTGCTCCCTCCAATTTTATCCCCTTTGTCCCCCTGCGAGTACGTTGCCGCGAAATGCCAGGCGAATGCACGCGAGTCCGTTGCGCACGGTGATTTTCACCGTGAAAGTGTTCGATTACTACAACGCGATGCCTCTTTTGTCCTGATCTTTGTAATTCCCGACTGAGATTCCCAACACTGTTGTTTTTCTTTCCTTCGCGAATTACAGATAGTGAAACGCCGTGATCTTTTTTTTCAAGATTTGCAGCTCCGTCAAGTATTATACTTGAGTGCAAATAACAGATATGCGCGTATCAAATTGCGAAATCGAGAAGTAATGTTGATCACGTGATTCTGCAGTGTACTAATATGTTACATACTTTTTTTAGAAGCTGAATATACTTGGATAATAATTTTGCTACAGATTTGTTCTTATCGATATTATTATTATTGTTTCTCATCCTTCGATTCGATTGAAAGCTATATATAAAGATGACAATTAAATTTTTGCGGCAGTTAATAAAATCAGTTAATAAAATAATTCTATATCATCCAGTTGTTTACCGGTTGGAGCCCGCATCCGTTTTCAGCTGTCAGTGAAAGCACGCACATGCAAGCACCCACACGGATCGGGATCCTCCGATCATCACGCGTCCCTTCTTTTCTCCCGCGTGTAATCGGCGCGGTGGCGATGTCGAATTCCGCGTGTGAGTCGACATTTAAGAACGTGAAGACCCATCACTTTCTCTCGGGCGTCCGCGCGCGGGAGCTCGTCATTACTTTCGCCCAAATCGAAGGATAATCGTTCTCTCGTGCGCGCGGCGCGGCGCGGCGCGGCGCGGCGTTCCGCTGCGCTAGGATCGGTTACGATTTTCCTTCGACGCCATCGCGTACACCCTAATAGCTGACGACAACAATGGGGAAACCGGCCAAGCGTCACGGAGAAAGAGCTCTGCACGCGCCGCCGAGCCGCAGACGATAATGTCGACGATAAATACGCACGTGTGCGCGCGCGTCCGGAATTATATTATATAATAAAACTAAATAGTAACTAGCGCTGAAAATGAAGCGCTATTACATCGCGCGAGCGCGTTGTTAAGCATACCCAGTCGCGGAAATTAATTTTCCGTATAATGTAGTATATAAGAGAATAATTCTTGTTGCGGTATCGATATAAGTATTATATTTCAAAATTGTATATTATATGTATGTACTTCGATATAAGTACTCTATCATTACGCGTATCTATATTGAAGATCACGTAGCCGAAGTTTCCCCATAGAATGATGGAAATAATATGCAATAACAGCGTCGGAATTTACAATTACCTAAGTACGTTTCCAGGATCATTTTTCACTTGTCACTTGACGCCATAAATGTTCATTTCTAATTTAGATATTACGGATTAATTTTAATCTCGGCTTAACTTACTTTTATCTTTACTCAAGAATTAGAAAAAGAGATAAAGAGTAAGTTGAGATTAAAAGATTAAAGTTAATCTACATTGACAAAAATCGTAAAAATTCTCTGTCATTTTAATTCATCATTAAGATAAGATAATAGCTAACTCTTGATGTTGCTGACCTTCTGGCTGTATAAATTTATATAGACCAAGCCTGCAGGCTTGAACATGTTCAAGTTCACGTACATCGAGCGGCAGAGGCCTCTCATCTTTCGATCGTTGCGGTAATCGCACCGGATGTGTCGCACCACGTCGCTCGGATGCGAAGCCGAGCTCTTCCGACCGAGAAAATGTGGTCGGATCAGATACATATATGTATATTCGAATTCGTCTTCGAATACGGCACACCCTTCGAAAACACATCGGATCGCTCATTCGTTGCCGTAATCGCACCGGATACGCCGCGCCTGACGTGAAGTATATAAGATAACCCGCGCGAAGTATATAGACGCGGGTTATAAGGAATCTGAATAGATATATCAAAAATTCGTCCTTGTGTCTTCGAAAACGCATCCGCGTTTCCTTTCAAGGCCTATAGAAACCGTTCTCTTCTCCCCGAAGAAATCTCGACGTCGCAACCGCGGTTGATCTTATTCACGGCCTTGAAAAGAGTAAGCATTTTCGCGGTCTAATTCACCGATATCTTTCGTGACGAACACTTTCCATTGTGTAACGAATCTTTTCTCGCTGACCGCCTCGTTTCTAGCTGGGCCGTTTTCAGCCACGGAGATGATGGACGTGCAATAACAACGAGCGATCGCCTTGGCGATTCGAGCGAGCAATTATGTAAAAATCTAAGTGTTCCGCGAGACAAAAACCCATAAGAAAGATCGACATGTTTCTATCAGGTCTGTTTGCCTTGCTCGGAGAATCGCAAGATGCATCTGCTCTCACGGCGCTTATTGTTAGACAACTTAGATGACACATGGGTTTTAAAAGCCTGTACTCGTACAACGTCGGTCTCTTCCACGTTTCTCTCGTCAGGCCTCTATCGAATTCCGTTACGTAAACCACGAGAAGTGTTTGGGCAACGCGTGTACGACGGTACCGAAGCGTGCATCCTCAATGCGACGCGCGCGGCGTCGCCAGCGTTTCTTTTTGAGAAAGAACGGAAGTACTTTCACTGCCTACGAGGTTGGCAGCTTAAAAAAAAAACCCACCTTCGATGCGCCACGTGACGCGGAATTCGTGCTTTAAACCGGCGATCACGCGCGTCTTGCGAAACCTGGTGTCTTCCTTCCGAAATCAACGGAGGAGAAGGAGGGGAGAGGGACTTTCTTTTATTAAGAAATTACCAAAAATGTAACCGCTCTCGTGTCGAAAGAACTCAAGGAGAGCGCGACGTTTTTTGTCGGCGCACCATTTTGTATCTCGTTGGAACAAGTTTCTGTGTATAAACCGTATTAACTAATACAATTGTTCGGAGTATGCAGGTGAAATCTTCCGCGCGGGAGATTTAGGTAGACAATCCGGTCTCGTGCGAAATCAATTATTTCGTCGTGAAAAAATACTCTTTTAAAATCAATTTTAACGTAATTGCGAATTATCTGAAATTGATATTCAACTGGAGTATTCTTTTCTTAGCGGGTTCCTATTATTAAGATTATACTATTATTAAGCCTAGAAATCGCTAACATAACGCGATTATTAAACTTAACGTCGTATTATGTTGAAATCCAGGTTGAGAATCTGCAGGCACCGATCGTTTCCATGCATCAAAATCACCGCGCGCGCGTGCACCGGCTCGCGCTTTTCGCTTAACACACTTTTTATACGTAAGAAACGACTGATAGCCTCTCTTTGGAAAGATAGGTGCTCTCCACCGAGAGCCGCGAGTTGCCTTGCTTTCTCTCCCCGCTTTTATTAGTAACTGCCGTTTAATCACACATTAAGCTTAACGAAACGAAACGAAACCGAGCATTCCGTTCTACGTGCCTTCCACCCATCGCGCCGATTCCGGCAATAAATCGAATAAATTTGATCTGCTTCGAGATGTGTGTTCGCGATTTATCGTTCGTACAATCGAGCGCCGCCGCGCGAGAAAACGCGCCGCGGGAGAAAGTTTTCATTTTCGAAGTTGAGTCGATCGCTTTTACGAGGATCGACTTGCATTGTTAACAAAAAAAAATGCAGTGGAAGATAAGCTGAATTTCTTGCAGTGTTTCTCGATCGTGAGATAAATCTCTCATCGCGATGCACTCTGTGTTTTAGAAAACACCTGCCTCGAATTGTTTCTCTCGGTGATAATGAACCGCACACACGGCGACCTCGAATTATGAACCTCAAATTGCATCTTGTTACAGAAGCGCAACAATCTTTTCTCTTTCGAATGTTTGCTTTCTCCCTGCTAAGTAATACATGTTATTCCCCCACTATGGTTTTAAGAAATATTTTATAATATTTCACACCGGAGATAACGACGTTCATTAGAGCTCTCCGCTTCTGTCTCATTCTGTGTGAACGATTCCCAGATTTTGCGCGTATTCTTTTTATATATATATATCAGCGTTTTCAAGATTAGAAAATAGAAAACGCGCGCGAGAAATAAAATAGACCAACGAGTCTACCCGAAGAGGGGGAGACAAATCGGCGTGAGACTGCACTCACCGATTCAGCAGACGTGACCTTCCCGGATTTCTCCTCGGCCGATCGAAGCAATGCGAGCGATTTCTTCAGGGGGAACCAGCCGCCAGGACGCTACTCCTGCCGCCCGCTCTTTTGCGACCTCTTCGTCTGCCTCGTACGACCGAGGTAGTCCTCAGCACCATAACACAATTCGAGATACCGTCGCGATGAGTCGTTCCTTTCGTATGTCACCGCGAAATGTTGCCCGTCGTTGATTAACTTCCAATTCCACGAAAGCCCGCTCGCGCACTCGCGATTTATATTTATATATATTTATATATATCAAAAATATATCAACAGAGAAGAAAAATAGAGAGAGAGAGAGAGAGAGAGAGAGAGAGAGAGAGAGAAAGGGTAAGGCCCAACAGAACCTACGATTGCACTTCCGAAACTATTGCAAAAAAAACTAAAAGCGTCTTCTTCACGTAGTCGCGCGATAACGCGGCACGATACGATAAGGCAACCTCTTGTCACTTCAGTGACTAAATCCGTGATGAATCCGTCAAGTGTCGGGATTCCGATCGTCCGTATCAGCAAAACACCGTCGCCGCGAGTACGTCTCTCTCATTTTTTTTTTCCTTGCACTTGCTACCGACGATATAGACGATTCTATCTTCCACCGGGATTCTCCAAAAATCTCTCCCGATCCGAAAGAGAATTTCTTTTTTTTTGAACGGGAAATCCAACACTTCGTGGACGGCCGATGGAGCGTGTCGGTTACCACACGGTGGCGAAGCTCCACGCCGTGTGGAGGACTCGCACCATGGGTCTGTCCTCTCGCGTCGAGGGGCCCCGGAGAACGCCTGCTCGCCTGCTCGGTCCGTCGGTGTCCGCCGGCACCGCTACGTCTGCTCTCACTTTCTCCGTCGAGTAGTTTCATTTCGGTACGTAAAACTCTCTCGCGCGGTGTCTCCCCACTATGCGTGCGAGGCGACAGCCATCAGCGCCGCCATCAGCTCCTTGGCATTCGAATCTGAAAGAAAAAAAAAAAGGAACTGACCGACGCCAGCGGGGAGGACTCGCGATTGTCCTTCGATCATCCAGAATGACTCTTCTCTTCTTCTACCTTTCTCTCTTCCTTTATTCGCCTCCGGGGTTTCATCGACCTTCCGTAATACCTTTCGATATCCGTGGATGGGGATCTCCAAGATATACGATAGCTTTAACGTTTTGAAATATTATAAATTTTATATATTTTTGTGATAATGCGTTTGTAACAATGCTAGCACGTATTTATATTTTATCTCAAGCATTGGAGAGAGAGAAAGATAAATAGATAATTGTATAAAAGTGCGATTAAGATAGAATGACATCCCCTAAAACTTGCGAAAGGTGAACGACATCTGATTGTCACCAAAACTCATGATGGCCTGCGTAATCTCCCGCCGCATTGTTCCTTTGTTCGTTAATGACTGCCGCAGGATGAGCGAGGTGCAGGTACCTAATTTCTGATTTCATGCTAGAAAGTTACAGACACCTGACATTTCTATTTTATTAATTGAGGTGAGATCGCGCGAATATTCCGAAAAAGCATGGATGAAAGTACACCGTGAGTTATATAGAAATCATTACGCAGAAAAAAAAAGTTTCATCTCTACCAATCCAACATCTGTAATTCGAAGAATTCGTCAGGTAGTGATCAAATGTATAAAAATAATCCTGGCTGGAAGTGATGTTTCGCTCAACAAATTCTTCGCAATAGAATTTAGAATGCTTATTAGCATAATCGTCATATTAAATTGCACATCAATTTAATATGTGATATTACAACCTTAGCTTCAGTATAAGACTGCGTTTCAAGACCGACAAATAATCGGCGCGAAGTTTGCATGAATTGAAAATTGTATAAAAATTTATGCAAAAAAAAATTATGGGCGCCAATATCCGCTTTGTCCACGGATCTTTTTGCGCCTTATTTGTGTTGTAAAAATAAAGTGTTGAAAATTTCCAATTAAAATTGATGTGTTTGTTGCATCGTATTAAAGCTTAAAAAAATGGGGCATCTCTAATTCCCATAATATTTCTTCACGCTTTGCTGAACTGTTGTGAACATTTAGGAAGCAGTTTGAGACAATTAACTGCAGTCGACCATTCTGAGAATGAGCGTGGACTATTGTTTTACCGAAAAAGAGCATGAAAAATGGAAACTTTCCTTGAATTTTGTACTTCACAAAAAATCTAGTTATTATTATACATTTTTGATAATACAATTGAATTCACCGCGTTCTTTCAGAGTGGTAGTCCAATTAAGCTAATTAATAGAATATTCGCAGCGCGATCTGGGTTAGCGCCACTTCTCAAATCGAATTGTTTGCAAAGCTACGATTAAGGATTCTCGGCAAGTCCTTAAGTCGTTAGGGTCAACAATTCGACCCAAGAAAGAGAAAGAGACACATTCCGGTTCTTTGCGAACTTACGATGATGGACACCAGGAAATCGTTGCGCCGTGAATTATTATTTAAGCGGTGGTGAAAGTCGGTGACAAGTTGAAGAGCGGCGATGGGACAATTTCAATGAGATTATATTTCGGCGCGAAACTCTAACGTGCTTGCTTTCATGCTCGGATTCGCGCGGAAAATTGCGATTGCCCCGCGGAGCTCGCCCGCGAGCTTTGCTATAATCGTGATCGGTGAACGATGACGAGCCGTCCTGAGATTGCTTTCGAGATCGCGGCCTCCGCCGCTTGTCACAGCATTCCTGTGCGCTGATCGTGTAAATTATGGATCTCGCAGAGATCCGTTTCGGTAATACCTCGCGATTGCAAGGACGTAAGACGAGAATGGCACTCGGCTTTTTAAAAGTACGAGTTCTTGAAAAAAAAAGAAATCCGGGAAAGTGATACTTTATGATAAAAACATATACGTGTTGATTCATTGGTTGATTCATCAAATTGTAAAGTAACTTTAAGGATCTCGGACAATTTCTTTAAGTGAAAGACTCGGCGGCGAGATCCGGCTTGCGGAGTGCTGCAAAAAAAAATATCAACGCAATTATAAGTTACATAGACTTAAAAAAATCGTACTGTGAAAAATTAAAAACACACAAATCATCACTTGTATACACGCCGGTTAATGTGTGCAAACGTCGAAAATTTATGCAAATTATATTCTAGCTGAAAACGAAAGTACGCGATGTTACATACGTCATGTACGGCGCATTATTAACTCCTTTCTCCTTTTTGACACCTCCGACCAAGACATCGGATTGTATCTCGTTACATGAGCTATCTCTTTGCGTAAAACGGTCCACGGCTGACCGCAGCAGGCTCGCGAAGTGTATGTATACATATCCGCATATTAGTGAGAGTGACAAAACGCGAGCCATTAAATATACAAGATCGAGCATCCAGCGAAGTGTAATAAATTCCTACTGCTCGTAATTAGAAATTTCATTTTCGAAGCTAACTCGATCTCCTCGCCGTAACATTTTAACGTTTAATTAATTTTTAATGTTATCAAATATACGATGCTCTTTTTCACATGCGCGCTTGGCTTTAACGCAACATAGATAAACGAGTCTAATTAATGGGGCTCGTTAACAGCAGTGAATTGCATCTATTAGAAAGAAAAATCGGCGCTCGGAGGAACGTGCTGAATTAAAATCGAAAGTGTTCCCCGACCAGATCCCGCTGTAGAGAGCGACTCGGCGGCGCGGCGTAAGAATGTCGCGCGAGGTGCGCAAGAACTGGGTCGAAACCGGAGAGCCACGATCGCGAAATCATCAATTCAGCTTCTTTTATTTTGTCTAAACAAGTCCCGGCCTAGGCACCCGCCTCCGAGAGTCAACCAAGTGTAACTTTCTCCGTGAACTTCGAAAGTCCGTCGCGTTTATCGCGACTCCCGCGACAGGTTCGCGAACAAATTATGTCTCTCTCATCGCCGGAAGTCGGCGAGTTTCTTCTTCTCTTCTTTAGATATCGCTTTCTATAAACGATCTTATTATCCCGCGCTAAGATAAGACGAGCTCTTATCTTTCAGAATTGCATGTTTACCATGTAATAAGAAAGTTTGCTGAGACAAAATTTCGTTTTTACCTTTTGTTCTTAAACTCGTTCTCTAAAAGCAAATTACAGTGTCTTCAAAGTAAAATGTCTTTAAGATGTTTCTCAAGTGTCATTTCGCAATTAGAGTTATGATCGGCCGCATGCGAGCCACAACTGAAACACCTAAAAAATCGATCCCAAGTTCAATCGAAGTCATTATAGCTGTTTAGCTGGCGCGTGCAAATTTGGAAATTAATATAGAGAAACTTTAATGTTGCAAAAAATAAAAAAAACAGAAACAAAAAGAGAAAAACGGGGTCATGTATTATTGTGTAACACTAAGGAAGCCCAAGATGCCGAGATACAATTAGGCGACAGCGGCGCGGCGTCGCACAGTCTTTTGCGTACGCGAGACGTGCCCGCGCAACTATTGTGACGGGAATAGATAAATACTCATGGAATGCGATTGCTACCGCACGCCAGTAATATTAACCGCAGGAGCGTTACGAAAATGACGTAGAGGAGCGCGAATGAAGGAGTGACATCGTGCGAGTTGCCACGTCATTACATTGTCACGTCATTACATTGTCGTATCAACGAGCATTGAGTAACGAATTTATTTAATAAGCAATGACTTCCGCGGAAGGGAGAAAAGAACAGACGACGTAATGCGGTTGCGTATCCTCTATCTGTCGAAATCGAGGATGTATATTTGACAAATCTGTAATACGATAAGATTAGCTGCAACTTTGTTGCGCGTCATTAGTATCTACGATAAACGACCGATAAGCGTTACATTTTCAAAAACCGGAAATTAGTGGTGATCTTATTCACTACTTAAGATTGTGTCGCAACTTCAGAGATATAAATAGAATTCTTATTTTAAAAAAAACCAATTTATCACACGATTTTTATGTCCATTATTCATCGCTTGTTATGAAGAGTAATAACATAATATTATTTTTTAATAACTAAGAATTAATAAAAATCAGACTATATAATAAAAAGTTAAAAAGCGTAACATTATTTTATACTCGAGATACGTTAGGTAAGTAGTAAGTTCAACACTCAAGGTATCAAGGCTTATGAAATGAAAATCTTCTTTATCGCAAAAATCGTAGAGCAATCGTCTTAAGTGGCTACCACTTGTACGTGCAACACACAAGAATAACGTTAATTAGAGCGATATAAAAGGAATCTATTCGTAATCTTCCTCGTAAAAGGAAAATGTGCGATTAGACTCCACCTTGTATTTGCTCCAATAATTTGCAAGGCTTATTGCTTTATAAATGATGTATTAACTCCGTTAGAAACTCTGTATAATATTGCGCACGGTGCGTTGAATGCAATAATTTAATGTATAATATAAATTAAGTATTAACGCGAATTGATTTTAATTTAATATCAAACGGTTAACTATAATCTCAGAATTGTATTTGCGTCTTGATTTTTTTACTCGCTTCTTTTCTCTGCACTATAACGCGAATTGATCTTAATCTAATATCAAACAGTTAACTAATTTCTGCAGAACTCATTTGCATCTTAATTAATTTTTGTTTTATTACATTCGCTTTTTCTTTTCTACTTATGTGAATTGATTTTAATTTAATATCAAACAGTTAATTAATCTCAGAACTATTTGCATTTCGATTTTAATTTTTGTCACATCTGTTTCTTCTTTTATAAATAATTTCTTATTAATAAATTGTAATTTAATGCAACGTGATTTTTGTGGAATTTAAAGAATTTCTTAACGAGGGAGTCGAGGAGATGAAGCTCCTTTGCATCGCTAGTCACACTAACTTCCTTTCGCGACCCATATAGATCGGCTTGGTGAACATATATGGTGTACATACATATACATACGGCCGCGTATATCGGCGCAAATGTATACGCAAGTGTACATCTCTATGCGCGAAAGGGACTTTACTTTCTCAAGCACGCGACCGCCGTCACTCCATCGGCAGCTCCTCTTACTTTCTCTCCCGCACGTTTTAAAAGTAGGTCCCAAATAGGATTAAGCGATCTTTGAAGAGTCTTACCACTCGATCCGCTACTCGTGTTGCACGCGGCGTACCGCTAATTACACGAACAAATTTTATAATGTAAGAATCCATTGATAAGAATAATACGATTATAATACGACAGCGACGTGCCGCAACATGCTTCACAACAATGTCATCTCTGTGACCGATTTCTCAAGCAGACGACTAACAAATTTAATTCGAAGGCAATCTGTTTTTAGGGAAAAACTTAAACAAAAATCAGAACGTCAATTCTTCAATATTTCGGAAATTGTGCTGATTAATCTCTACCAGAGTGGCGTCTTTCCAATACTTATCGCTTGTTACACGTATTTATCGGCTTTCTAATCAATAAGCGCGTGAATCACGGGGGGATAACTCCGAGTGTTCGCTCCACTTACGTCTTCACGGCGTCGTGAACGGTCAATTACCCTCGCAAATGCATCTCACGGCGGTGCATTCATAAAACGCGAGCTACTACTCCTATCTTCGTTCTACCTACACATTATAGAGACACCGCCGTTTCTGCGCGCCTTCGCGCGCAATTTTTTTGCATGTTACTCATTTAGTTTTTTTTATTACGTTACGTTTCGTTCTTTCTTTTACACATGAATGTTGAGCGTCGTTCGGTGTGTGCCGCTTAATAACAAGTTGAGAATCCACGTCGCAATTCTCATCGCGGTTTTATTGATGTTCGGCTAGGATTAGGTATTTTGCCTCTAATTGCATTTTCGTGCGCCACGCGATCGTCGCGCGATGTACAATTTTATAATGCGGTCCCACAGAAGGATTCCCCCTTTTTTTCCTTTACTTGTCGCTTCTTGCATGTACCTGTTCTCCTCACTTTCGTCAGCGAAAGTGAATGGGACGCGACGACGTTTCTAATCGGCCAATTTGCATCAAAAGCTACTTGCATGCTCGTAATCGAACGTTATATCGTCAATAAAGATTGCAAATGTCACGAAACATGTTAGAGATTGACGGATCAGTATGTGACCTGTGTACTCCGTAACTTCACTTGTGTATTATATGCGTACAATAAAACAAACAATTCGCTAAATTACGCTTAATAAATATTAATTTCTCAATTTCTTATAAGATTCGACAATTTTCATTTTCAATACCAGAAGGACGCTAAAAAATTCTTAATTCAAAATTTCATAATTGAAATACTATCATGAATTGTTTTTGTTTTTATTCCTAAATCAACGGTTAAATATCTGCAATTCCTCGCTCATTAAATTTAATGTCTTTTAAAATGTGAATATATCTAGAAAACAAGCAGACATTATTTTTGTTATTTTGACGTCAAAATATTGTCATGCTAAATGATTATTGAAAGATTATCGTAAATGTTTATTATTTTTATTTATAAATCAACGATTAAATATCAGTTTCCCACACATCGTCAAAATAATGACGTCAAATATTATCAATAATGCCGTCTGTTTATTTCCTATACACCACTTTAAAAGATATTAACTTTATAAGTGCGAAACGAAAATTTAATCATTCATTTATAAATAATAACGTCAAATATTTGACGGTTAAATATCTGCAATTTCTCGCTCATTAAATTTAATGTCTTTTAAAATGTGAATATACCCAGGAAACAAGCAGACATTATTTTTGTTATTTTGACGTCAAAATATTGCCACGTTAAATGATTATTGAAAGATTATCATAAATTTTTATTATTTTTATTTATAAATCAACGATTAAATATCAGTGTCCCACTCATAAAAGTTAATATCTTTTAAAGTGGTGTACACCACTTATATAAAATAATAAAAATTTACGATAATCTTTCATAATTTCATAATTGAAATTATTAATGATAATTTTATTTATAAATCAACGATTAAATATTAGTGTCCCACTCATAAAAGATATTAACTTTTATTTGAGTGGGACACTGATATTTAATCGTTGATTTATAAATAAAAATAATAAAAATTTACGATAATCTTTAATAATCATTTAACGTGGCAATATTTTGACGTCAAAATAACAAAAATAATGTCTGCTTGTTTCCTGGGTATATTCACATTTTAAAAGACATTAAATTTAAATAAGCGAGGAATTGCAGCTATTTAACCGTCAAATATTGTCACGTAAAAGATAACAAATATCAGCTTAATTTCCTGAATATATGTCCATTCTCAGGATTCGAATTTCTTTCTCGTGATAAACTTTATTGTAGTCGGTAACGTCGACGTTCTTCTTTTCTTACTGGATAACTTGTGAGCAGCGCAATATCAATAGTATCTAATTCTTTAATGCTAAATAAGAGGGCACGACCAAACGGAGCAACACGGAGCAACAAAAACACGTGCGCCGAGTCTCCGATCAGCAGTTCGCGTGGTTGCTGCTCCACGCTGCTCTCTGGTGCGATTATTATTTGTGATTTACGGGACTTTGTGTTACGCTCAAGCGTGATTCGACAAAATGAGCATACTGAATCGATTTCCACTCGCTCGTCTGAGCGTTCTCTGTCACAAGAATGTAAGTCATCGATATAATAAACGAACTCGTGTGCTTTATCCGTTTCTAACCTCACCTCTCCCTAACCTGAACCGATCCTCGTAGATGATACGGTAAACAATGATGCAGTAAAATTATATGATTTCGCTGTTGAGATTTCGATTGATCTAACAATCCGGCTTGAAATCACAGTCCTCTCTAAAGAATCTAAAATAAAATTTGCCCTGATCTTATAGCTTGGCGTTTTTCTCAAATTTTCCAGGTCTCTCGTTTTTCCACTAAAAAAGACGACGGTCCGCCGATACCGACGAATCAGCTGAAGGACACGTACAGTGCCAGTGAGCAAACCGATACCGGGGTGATATACGACAAAAAGCCGTTCAGGATACGCCTTACAGCCGGCAAGAATTACTCGTGGTGCCTCTGCGGAAGGAGCAAGAGCCAGCCGTTCTGCGACGGCACGCACAAAGACATCTTCTTCAAGATAAAGCTCAGGCCCATACGTTTCACCGTCTCGGAGACCAAGGACTATTGGCTGTGCAATTGCAAGCAGACGTCGAACCGACCCTTCTGCGATGGCACGCACAAAAGACCGGACATACAGGAGAAGAGGACGTGAAACCGCATTGTTGATATAGAATATGGATTTCGAAGTAAAAATTACCTTTTATAATGTGCCATGTCTTTTATGGGCAGGTCTATAGAGTTGGTGTACATAATATACATATTAATAAAATATCTGACATATATTATAAATATGTATATAAAACAAATCCCAATTTCTAATTCCTTTTTTTAAATAATAACGACCAAATTGATTGAATAAAAAAATATTCCTAAACGTAAATGAAATTAATAATAAAATTAAGGAAGTATTATTAAATTGCTTGCGATATTAATATCTCAGTTTCAGTTTAGAATTGCGTTTCAAGACCGAAAATTAAATCGCGCAGATGAACTGAATATAAAATCATACTGAAATATCAAGCAAGATGTAGCTTAGATCGAAAAAAAAAACATTTCCTTAATTGTATTGAATAAGTAAATTATTGAAAAAAATATATAATAGAAAATCGAGATTATCGCGATATTACTTGTTCTGTCTTTTATTTAGCGTCTGCATGTATGATTTCAATGCTCCCACAATTGCACAATTATCTTGTCCGACTGATGTGCACTTCCGAAGTCGGAAATACGTAACGTTTGCATTTCCGTCATTCGAAGGAAAATTCAGAACGCGCATCATATGATTCGCAGTGCGTCTACAGTGCTCCCTAAACAATTGATCGTATCCTCTCGTAAAATCTCAAGACAAAATATTCGCGGAATGCTGAGCTTCAGTTTAACTTTAGTGATGTTCTTAGTCATCGTATGTGCAGCCATCTGCGATCGCTGCTGCTTAATCAGTCGTCACGAGTTGCCGCGGTACGACCTAATAAAGAACAATTCGCGCTCGAGTCAACCGATCATCTCGCGCAGGGCGACCGCCAGCGTGGACGAGTGCAAGGAGTTCGCCGCGTCGAAGAAAGCCCTCGCCTTCAATTTCGTTTCCGCGAGAAACCGCACCGGTATGCGAACAACGGGCGGGCAATTAAACGTAATTGCGACGCGTAATTATATATATGATAATTTCACCGTGATAGACCGCTTCCTAATTACGGCGAAACGTAACGCGAATTACAATAAGTGCAACCGTGCTGTAAAATACGGCGTAATTATTAGCCGGTTCAATTAGCGTGATTAATCCAGCGCACACGTTTCGTGTAATTTCCCCGGTGTATACGTTCTTAACCAGGGTTTCTTTACCAACACGCAGGTGAACGGGAGAACTCGTGTCAAGCTCTTCAATGCCCGGAAGATCACAATACGACTACCCTCGTGCCCGCGGCAAATTGCAACTATTACAGCATGTATCCCGCTTTGCCTCCGCCCGGTGATTGTAGTTACAATTAAAAGGCTGCAACAATGGGCTAACCCATATTTTCTAAAAACGGAGAAAATAAATTATAAAGTTAAAATGACGTCGGAAGATACTTCTATTTCTATCAATATCACATACTCAGCTACGTTATTGGATTGGCCTACTGTTGCAACAAGAGCTCACTTACAACTTGCGTAAAGATCCACGTAATTTGTACATTGGCACATTATTTATACATAAGCCATTGAGCATTGTACAAACCTAAATTTAATTTTTGAAATTTTCGACTTCAATTTCGAACGTAAATTTCCGTGTTAACGGAGACTGCTTTCAGCGAATGCTACGGTGAAATGCGTTCCTAAAGCGGGGATGTTCATGTTTTCGTCCGAGAGCTTGAATTACACGGAGGCACGGAGTTTCTGCCAGAAGCGAAACGCATCGCTCGCGCATGTGATAAGCGAGGAGCGCACGGAAAACCTCGGCAAATTGGTGTCGCAGAACATTTCCAGATTCGTGGGTCTAAGCAGCGAAAGCAGGGAGAGAATCTGGAAGAACGAATTCGGTAATTCGCGTACCGTCGGATCGTTATTATGTCTCGTTTGCACCGAGATACTGCAATCTTTCAAATCGCATGCCGAAAACGATTTCTCTGTATAAAACTTAAAAATATACATGATTTTCGACAGACGAACCTTTGACTTGCTTCGACTATCGAGCGTGGGGCGAGGGAGAGCCGTCGCACTCGAGGGGCTGTGTCGCCCTCGCGAATCCGTCCGCCAAAAACTCGCCGCCCTTCTGGAAAGTGATGCCGTGTCACGCGTCGCTGCCGTTTATCTGCGAAATCTCGCCGTTACCTCGAGAACCGTCGAAGCAGCGTAATAATGAAGATCGCACATAATACGATTAGATCCAATTGCACTGAAAATTTAACTGTGTAAGTAAAACTGTGTATCTCGTTCGAGTAAAAATAATAAATTTAAATAAATACCCGTAAATTCATATTTTGAAGCAGTAAGTTATTTTTACACGGATGAGGCGCTTCTATTCACTTTGCATTGTACACGAGAAAACAATTGTAACATGGAAATAAATTTACGAGCGCAAATTAATAGCTTTAATTAAAGAAATCATGTTTTCTCGGGATGCGGACGACTGTAGAAACAAGAAGTCCGTATCGCGTTCTATAAAATTAATGTGGACATTTAATTTCCGCCACTTTTAATTCCCACATACGATGAGGACCATTCTTGTCCTGCTTTTACATTCCGCAGATTAATCGGAATTCCACTTGGCGTGTGAGTGACAAGGTCGGAATGAAGGCAGACATTAAATATATGTATAGAGATTTAATGTAGGATTATAGGACTCCAGCATTGCGTATGTAGAGAGTGGTTTGCTCTCTTGATGGCTTTATTTACAGGTACGATTGTTAAATCCGACGTTATGCACGGTTGGACACGTTTGACAGAGGAGGGGAAAATATATTTATATATGTATATATAACTCTCACTCGGATCGCGATGCGCTTACACATGTATATGTACATTAATAGGCCTAACGTTTAGTTAACATTAAAAATCGTTTCGCTTGGATCGTTAACGCCAGTCTCCTTACGTTCTAGAGCATGCTTTCTACAGGGATATCACTTAGCAACCTATATGCAGCCGAACAGGCTGTGCGCCGCATGCCGCATATATCCGTCCGTCCAACGCATCTCTTTCTCGGAACAGAAGTCCATTCATCGAGGACAGCTATGTAGCGTGTGATATAAAAATGATATCTCGATTAGATTCGATGTCGAACAACAACAAGTCGGAAATAAGTCTGCCGTTATATTTATAGTCTTATACAACCTCGTGTCGGGGCGACACTTAAGTTCGCCGTAGCGCCGCACATAGTGATAGATCGAAAGCGTGTGAGAGAGAGAGAGATAATTACATCGCGATTGATACATCGATCGACTACAATCCGCCGATCCGCTTTAGTGGCGTTTAGGATAATACTCGGGACGCGATACCTTTAGAATACAGATTTCTCGTTACGGCCGTGTTTCTCGCACGTTCTCACAGAATTAATTAACATTGTTATATATT